AATATTTTACATTTCCCCTGATATGCATAGCAACTTAGTTCTCTTTCCTATTGACTCTGTCGCTGTGAAATTATTTATACCCCTGTGTGTGGCATTCACTAGTCATGTCCCCAGTTTTCAGAATGAACTAGGTACCGGTTATTGCAATAATATCAGTTTCCTTCACATACAATTATTCTTATTTCGCCTCTTATTTTTTTGTGCTCTGGCTGTTTGTATAGTAGATACGAAGGAAGTTTTTACGTTGCTGCTCTCCTTTGTCTCTAATTGTTGACTAATTACCTTGTATTTATCAGAAACTATTTTATGAGCTTTCCTGACATATTTTGGCAATTCTTGCTCTCTCCGTCCCTGGCACTGCTGCTACCCCTTGTTTCTCGCACATACAGTTTAAAGTTTTACACAATTTGGTAACGGCTCCTTGGAGTCGTTCCACCGAGTTTGTTCATTCCTCCAGTAAGAAAGAACCGATCCCTTGTGTTCTGGTGATTCGATTCCTGCTCCAGGAAGATCATTCTGACTGTGAAGCCACCAGCACCCATTAGTGACTTTGTAATGAGCCAAGAATTAGTAATTCCACAGTCACTAGTGATTGTAGCTGTATCTTTTGTAGATACTCGTTCAGACTGCCCTCAGTCAAGGCATGTGTTAGCCATTGCAGAGGAATTCGATCCTCCCAGAGATGATAACCATTTTGCATATGTCATACCCTAGCAGAGTTGGGGTTAAATGTAAATAACCTGTATAGATGAATAATTACAGTATCGACTTATCAGTATTCAAGAATTTTTTTTTGTGTTCATGTTCTCTCCGCATTCTGAGAGTTAACAGTCTAGATTTGAGTGCACCGAATCTACCTTTCTGTTAAACACTCTTTCTTTGTATATATTCCTTCCTCAGAATCCGTAGATCACATGAATACAGATCGATCGATCAAATTTTTTTTTATCACTTGTAATCTCAACGTTGAGTTCATCGATGATTTGCTATTACCATTGATACAGTTCAGTTAGTAAGCTTCCATTCCAATGTTCTACTTATGTATGTTATAATGTTTAATTGTTGTGTACTTTGACATTGTATAGAATCAGCCCAAGCCGTATACCTGCCATCTCTAGTTTGTATTAGTTGTATGTCGGGACGACATACGTTAGCGTCGCCGAGCTCTCAGTAGTAGCAACCAGTTACCAGTAACCAGTGTACCAGTAGATGACTCCCTACCAACCGTCTCTGCCTGAGTCACTGGCTGTATTCATATTGTTGCTGACCTAGCAGGATTTCAAGCGCCCCCTTGCCCATGGGCACTCCTCAGTCAGTCTAGTCAAGGGGCAGAGAGAGGCAGGATCGGCTGTGGCGCCCTTCCACATACTTCAGTTACAATATACGTACTTCCAGCCTATGTGAGTATTACTTTACCCTATCCACGTGTTCGAACTCCCACATGATACAAAACCAATATAAATTATTATTATTATGTGAGTAAATTACTTGCATGAGGTTTACAGGGTATTACCTGAATTATTATGTGCAAGTAATTTAGGTGAGATAAGCGGAACGTAAGTCACAGTAGGTCGCTGAACTGTTACTCCCTTGATGCCCACTTCATCAACACTCTCTCAAAAAGCTGGACCTGACATTAAATTAATAATCACAATTTTAAAACCAGCTACTCTGGCAAATTAAAATTGTGGACTATATATGATTAGGCTTGCTGGGTACACAAAAGAAATTCGTATTACCAGTAGATGGATCACACCACAACACCGGCCTGACACCTTGACCCTACACTGGCCAGCTAGAGATCTAAATGCAAGGACTAATGGTGCACTTCCCTGTGATTGATGGTCGTATCCCATATCTTCTGTCATCCACACGTAATTCTTGAGGCCCCGCAAATGTCCTGTCCCAATTCCTTAGCAAGGGACATTAACACGGATTCCTATTACAAATTCAGGCCGAACCTTCCCCCCCCCCAATTTGGCTTGGAAGACGCCGAATTATTAGTAGAATTTTCCACGACAACCAGTGTTCACAAATTACAAATGGTGTCCTCCCCGGCTCTTCCACATCCCCCCCCCTCACTCGAAATTTCTTGAAGGGTCCAAATAGCATCACATTTTAATACATAATTATTATATTTTTCAAATTTAAACATGCTGAATTTAGGAAAATTCAAAATTTTCCACAACCAAATTAGACAAAAGTTGCAGTATAATCTGGCAGCCAGTAAGACATATGAATTATTTAATAAGTTAGAAACAATAAAATAAGAATGAGGGAATATTATAGCAGACCTACTGGTCCATGCTAGGTAAGTCAAACTCACACCCACTCAAATACCCTTCCAATCTATATTTAAGGTTATCCAAAGTTCTTGCCTCAATGACAATACCTGGGAAATTTGTTCCACTCATCTACAGCTCTACTACTAAAGCAGTACTTCCCTTTATCCTTTCTAAATCTAAATATCTTCAACTTAAATTCATTGCTGCGAGTCCTGTCTAAGCTAGATACTTCCAGCACTTTATTAATTCCCTTTTTTTCCAGTTGCACACTTAAGTTTTACTTCCCGAAGTCTACGACTTTCCAGAGAGTGCAAAGTCAGTGCCTTCAGCCTGTCTTAGTAGGAATGGTTTCTAATACATGGAATTAACTTAGTCATCCTTCTCTGTATATCTATACAAAGAAGGATGACAAAAATAATTCCAGCCTAATTATGTCCTTTCTTTAATATGGGGACCAGAATTCAGCAGCATAACTGAAATGAGGCCTTACCATAGACATGTAAAGCTGAAGTATAAAGCATAAATAATAGAAGCTCTAAGCCCTTAGGGCTTCTATTATTTATACTTCTTGATATGAAGCCTAGAATTCTATTAGCTTCATTGCGAACACCTGTGCACTGTTGTCTTGGCTTTAAATTTCTGTTAACCAGAGTTCTAAATCTTTTTCCTCATTTACGTTGACTATGATATACATTGTTTAGCTTATAAATATCATAGTTATTTTCTTTAACTTACATTTGCATGCACTGAACTGCATTTGCAACTTCTCCGACTACAATATCTACCTATCCAGGACATCCTGTAGCTTTCTAGAATTCACATCAGAAATGATTTGATGGCTTATTTTAGTGTCATCGGCAAACCTCTTTAGGTAGCTATTCATTCCCTCATCTATGCCGTTCATGTACATTGTGAACATGGGTAGCAACACTGACAACGGGGCCTATATTCTAAATTTATCATGGTCTACCAGCCTCAAATACTATATTGAAAAAGGTTGGCATATTTGCAAGACAAGAACGCCCCTTTGTAAAACCGTGATGAGATACGTCGATTAAATTGCACCTTCCAAGGTGGCTTCTAATTGAATCAGCAACTACTGATTCCATTAATTTTCTCACAATTGAGGTTAGGCTGATTGGTCTATTATTTAAACCTAAGGATCTATCTCATTTTGTAAATGGGTACCACATTTGCCATTGTTTACTTATCCGGTACCATACCCATTTGTAGTGATTTGTTGGAGACTAGCTAATGGCTTCAAAAGTTCTTCCTTACATTCTTTCAGAACCCCACAAACACAGCCCATCAGGGGCTGTTGACTAGTTTAGTTCCAAGTTACCTAATTGTTTGAGGACCATGTCTTTAGTAAATTTGATGCTGCATAATTATTTACAGTTTGACCTGTATGATTATTGATTTCTTTGATTTCATTTGTATTTTCATGTGTAAAAACAGAGGAAATAAGTGTTAAAAATGGTGCACATTCCTTAGTCACTAACAGTAAGCTCACCCTAGTAACATTTGAGCCTGTCTTTCCCCTAATCTTATTCCTATATACATGAGAGAAATCCTTTGGATTGGGCTTTGATTCCCTCGCAACCTTGATTTTATATCCTCTTTTGATTTTCCTTATCCTTTTTTGATTTTCCTTATCCTTTTTTGACTTCTCTTTTAAATTAAATATATTATTCAATAAGGTGACCCTCATCTTTTTTTGTAAATCCCGTTCTTGTCACCCAAGAGATTTTTTTATTGTATTTTTTTATATACTTAGGGTCATTCAGCTCGTTATTTACGGTGTGGAACGGGCTGCAATCACACACCTTCCGTCATAACAACAATAACTGTGACTTTCCTGTGATTCTCCCACGCCCAGACCCACTTACACAGAACACCCCGTTATGCAGTCTGGACAGCCATCGTCCTTATTCAGCCTTCCTGGTCAAGAAGGATCTCTCTGGTCTTCTTACAAAGCTCATACACTTTCACTCTAGTGTTCAGTGAACATGGTAAAATATTATAGAAAGCACACTTAGGAAGTAGAATTCTCAAATAAACTCATCCTGCAGAGTTAGTTAACAGCCCTGAAATGGTGGATATTAGGAGCTATAAATGTAAAAATGACACGATAATCTAATACATCAGTATTTCTTTACTAGTTGACTAAGAATTGGGAGAAAATGTCTATTGTATCCTAGTCTTATCATCGCGCTAAATGCCAGCAGCAAGCATTGTAGTCTACCTCTGTATTGTGTTGAGCTCTCTTAAATCTGCTTCCTGTATCGTTCTGATGCCCCTCCCCATCCTATGCATAGGATATCAGCCTGGTCCTGCATCCCTGTATGATCCCACTAATCCTCTTCCTGTCATGCACACCAAACAGGTCTGCAAAGCGTTGCATCATTGGGTGTTTGTGTTGAGGAAGCTGACTGGTTACCTGTGGTGGTGGTAGTGGGTGGGTTTTGTGATGGGGATAGAGGGCAGGAGGATGGGGGATGGAGGGTAGGGGACGAGTTGCTGGACTAGCCTGGATCGTAAACTAACAGGATTTTCCTGGCTATCTTAGTAACATTCTCTGAAAACTTATTCGGAACCCGTACTGTGCTACAGGACGTTGCCCTCTTGAATAGCAATTTTCGCCGGAAACGAAGAATAGACTAAGAAGGAGCATTGCAGTAATGCGGTGTGCATGGAGGGATGTTTATAAAAACTGGGAGAGGTTGTGAGGAGCGGCATTCGGGGCGAGCCAGCAGTGGGGTTGACAGTGTGTCGGTGTGTGCTGAGCAGGTCTACCTACAATATTGGCAATCCCAGCACCTCCTCCTTGTAACCTACTCAAACCTACATTTACGCTCTCACCAGGGATCTGCGAGTCCATGTTTTTCGTTTATTAGGATAGCCATAAAGACTAGTAAACTGAGTGGCAAAACAAAGTGGATGCAGCTCTGGCAAGCGCAGTGATAGGAGAGCTTGTTTACGAAAGTTGAGTGTGGAAAGAGGCTTATTGAGACATCGTCAGCGAAGACCAAAGGTATGTATATAAACATTAATTGTGGTTAAAGGGTAAAAGGTGGTGGCGTGTGTTGAGGAAGCAGAGACGACCAGGTATTGGCATGCCCCGGAGGTGTGCTGGCAGCAAGACTTACCCAGCAGTCTGGGGCGAACCACCGATTCCGCCCGGTATTTCAAGGTCCTTCAGTAAGAAAAGAGGGCATTTTCTTTATTTTATAGCATTATTATGCATACTGAATCTAACATTTACGAATCAGTCGAAAGATTGGACCAGGGGTACGTACTGGATTCAGGAAGTGGGTGTCTACGTTCTGTAGACAGGTTACAGAGCCATTTACAAAGACGAAGTTAAGACAATTAGCAAAGATTTTTGGCAACTGGATTAAAAACTTGCAAGAAAATTTTCTATTGGATTATTTTAGTCAAGTCTGAAGAATGCAACGTGAGAATAATTCTGCTGACAAAATTTATACTTAGGATGTACTGTACATCACTGCATATTTAACCAAGGCCAAGCTTATTTGTAATGCTAAAGTTTTGCTGTTTTATTGGATGAACCAGAGTCAGGTGACTTCGTGCTGGGTAATAAGATAGTAAAATGATCGTGTGATGAAGATTGCTACGGGATCTTTTTTCTTGTTTGTCTTATAACTAAAACCAATTAAAATTCTGTATTATGTAGTGATGGTGAACAACTGTGCAGGAAGTCGATGCTAATACTTAGGAACATCATTGTGTAAAGATATCAGCAAGTTAAACCTTATTATCCTCACAGCCAATTTAAAAGCTACAGACATCACAATCTTAGACAACTTCATATAATTCTGTACACATAATTACAGTTACTCCAACTTCTGTATAGTAAATCAATTGACATTAGCTTCACTGTCTCAGTCAAATGGCATCGGCCTTCACTAACGGCAAGTGTAAATACTGTATTGGTGTTTTTTGTGTCTCACCTGCATGGCGTCGCGTAGCTCAGCTCCCACACGTGACTTGCTTACTTCAGCTACTTTAACTTTCCAAGCTGAATAATTAACGAATTTGGCGTTTTCTGTTAATATAATAATTAATAATAATACCACTATTATTATTATTATACCGTAGCATTATATGATAGACGGCTGTACCATTTCTTATTTAATGATAGTGTAATAATGATAGTAGCTCTCAAACACAGTTTTCATAACTTCAAAGTAAGTGTTCATTTGAGTGTATTCCTCAGCGAAGTTATAAACTGGTGATTGTTGAACATGTGCAGCAGTGTTCAGCAGTAAGTGAACATTTATTAATACGCACTGATGCGACTCAGCTTGAAGGATATATTAATAATACATACCATTCCTTAGTATTACAACAATGTTCCTTAGCCACGTGTACTACACACTTCTGTTGTGTTTATAGGTAAAATTAATATGATCTTATAGATATTTTAAAAGTAATTATCATCGTGTATCTTATATGTGCATGGTAAAGTTGTGGTTAATTATATTCTCTTTATTCACTTAGTAAACTTTCGTATAAATTTAGTGACAAAGTTTAATACATTGTTTTTCGTATAAATTTGGTGACAAAAGATATTACTATAGAGATATTTACATCAAGACGTTTCCATATATACATAGGTTTACATTTCGTCCCTATTTCAGTGATTTGGTGTGCAACTCACTCCAGGTAGGTAGGTGACAAGCAGTCTCAGTCACCCTCGTGTTGTTGGTAAGAAATATGCTGCACGAGGGTTATATAATCGCTAGGTCAGTTGAAATACAATGTGTGGTAGAGTCAGCGTATGATGTTTAGCTAACAAGTGGCTTTTATCAAGTCTACAGAGAAATGCTGCAAACGGGTAGAAGACGTGGAGAGTTGATTTGAGGTGACCAGTCACTCTGCCTTGATAGGCCTTTAGACCCCCCTCATTCTTGAAAAGTCGGCCTTGGTAAATAAAAATAACCTGGTGTTACACATGTCTTATTCATCAGCTTGTTGATATTATATACCATTACTGTAATTAAACTTGTTTCCTTAAATGTTATTGCCTTGATTACCAGATTTCATGTGAGTCACAACTTGTACTAAAGAACGGCCTAAATTTAATCATGCAGGTCTCCGTAATCGTTGAATTAGTTAAAATGTACAATGTAGATTAAATTTAACTTCAATAGTTTCTTTACCAAAACTTGTACTGAGCCTATATATGCAATATTTTGAAGCCGGAGTTCTGAAAGACATTGTTTGCCCCCACTGAGTGAATGCAGTAGGTTGATAATTGTGAGGCTATCAAAATTTATGAAGCAGCGGTCAATCTTCACTATTCCCATGATATTACATTACTGGTAATGTCTTCTTAAAAGACTTGGGTTCTTTATACTTATTGGTATATTTCGTTTTTGTTGGGACTATTTTGCGCTATCATCTTTTCCTGGTGTTCTTATAAGATGTTATGCAGATTTGGAAGAAGTTTCTCGAATTTCTTCTAGTATCTCTTCAGCACTTTCAGAGTTCAATTTTTTAACGCTGTTGAATTTACGGGATAACAACTATTATTCCACATCAGCTCATTTTAAAAACTAGTTGGGTATACTTCCACAATCCAGAATACTGCCAAAACAGTCGGCTAACACCCAGGTGCCTAGTATCTGGTAGGTAAGCAGTTGTTTAGTTAGTTTAATATGTTTATTATGCACCCCATACCCATCCTGTGGGCGGGGCAGTTGTACAGAGACTTTCTTATAAGGCTCAAGTTGACCATGACTGAATTAGTGTCCTTCGGTTCTGAAAACTGGCTTTTTTTTTTTCTTTTTTTTTTTGGCCTAGCTCATGCATTCAGACTGTCCTCCACTGACTCAGACCTGCCCAAGCTCACTCAAAACAACATGTTAAAGTGTACACAGCATTCTTGCCGAAGCTACGTTAGCTGTGTTGTGAGGCGCCTTCGTTTTACTGTAGTTTATACGGACTGAGCCCATATCTCTTCGAGGTTTGTTTCTTGAAGTGCTCTTGATCCAAGGAATTCGAGCTATCCTTCACTTCCTTGCCTCAGACTTGATGACCTCACTCTCCAGGTGCTGTATGACCCTTACAGGTTTAGCGCTTCCCATGAATAAACTAGATGTGTTGCGGTTGCAGTGGGATCCAAGAAAGGCATCCTTGTATCCCATAATTCGAGCCCGCTCTACCTTATTGTACGCAAGAGGAATGGTGCATTGTATTCCATAAGTTTCCATTGTAATTAGATACCCGAAGTCAGTCGGAAAAGACATTTACAACTTATTGCATCGAAACTATCCCAATTTCTTCAGTAAAAATGGCAAATTGGCATATAGCCAACCTTCAGCCATTTCGAACTTTCCACTGAGATACGGCCTGTGTACAGGAAAACACCCTTAGGGGTTGAGCATGGAAGATGTAATAAAGACTGGGTTTGTGAGAGGAGCTTCTCGAGGGGAAGGGGGAAAGTGCCAGGGCTTAACCCAGCTCACTAAGATACACCAGCTTTGAAAGTTTAAAGTCAGTCTGAATGGGGTCTTTGGGTACACATTCCATGGCATATATGTATCATAAGACCCCTCTGTGTAGGTGCTGGAGTCTTAGGGCGTACAGGACACCACATGTACCACAAGACCCCTCTACGTGGGTGCTGGGGTCTTGCGGTGTACAGACCACGGCATACATGTACTACGATACCAGTGTATTTGGGTACTAGCCGCTGGGATCTTAGGGTATACAGACCACGACATACATGCAGCATAAGAATAAAAATCAATCACTAAGAGTTAACACTGTGTTGAACGCTTGACCAATGCAGTGTGTTGGTCCGCAATCTTTCGATGGATAACTTCTTGTGTGGCGCATGATATGAAAAACAACACACAAATAGCTAGCACATAGGAGAGAGGAGGTTACTACGACGTTTCGGTCGGAGCGAAACGTCGTCTTAAGCTCCTCTTTATATGCGGGTTACTTGTGTATTGTTCCAGTCACGGTATTGTGCCTTTTTGTTCTTTCTGCATGATATCAAAGCTACATACACCTAGTGTACGTTTTGGGAAGAGCTAAACCCTCGTGGGTCATTCAGCAGAAGTGATGGAGGCTCGATACCCCGTCCGCATTGAGACTGACAAGCTAATTAACTAGTTTTACAACTAATGTATACACAATGAGAAGTATAGTTTTGTATATCCACTGAGAAGTGCATAATTTTCTATAAGCTGTGAGAGTAGAGCTGCATATAGAATGAGATGTATAGCTCTGTATACATTGATTACTTAATACCTTGGTATTCTCTGAAACTTGAATATCTTGTTTAAATTAAGGTAATTTTGATAATAGTGATAATAATGTACGTATATGGAAATTGTGGCCTTAATGACACTCGTACAGTCACTATGATGGCAGGCTGACACACTGACCTGACATCAATACGGAAAGAACGAAAGATAAATAGATAAAACAGGAAAGAGACAGAGAAAGAGAAAGTAGACAGTTAAGTAGAAAAAATATAAATAGAAAAGAAAGAGACAGTCAGAGAGAAAGAAACCAGTCGAAACCATGAGATTATACGAACTAATGGCAAAAAAAAAAAAGACGGAATGAAAGAGAAACGGAGAGTTAACGAAAGATATATCCATAGGCAGAACGAAAGAGATACAGAAGCTAAACGAAACAGATAAAGACTGGATGAAAAATATGAAAAACTAAACACAAATGTAGCATAATGCAGTCCTTTACTGATTACGTTTCGTCCACACAGTGGGCTTTATCACAAACAGATTTACCTGGGTAAACAGTACGTGAGTATATATAAGGTAGAGAGTCCAGTAGAGAATGTTGGGTACGTTGGATTTGAGACGGACCTAAATGAAAACGATGAAGAGACGGAACGAGATAAATAGACCATGAGAGAAGTGGAAAGGGAGAAGAAGAGAGACCGAGAAAGACAGAAGACGAGAAACCAAGAAAAAGCTGATGTAAGAATGGCTGGAAGAAATCTTACTACGCAGTAATGGGAGTTGATATCCT